AATGCCCCTTCGGTTTGTGGAAGAGGGCAGGGTTAAGGGGCAGCTTACATCGTCACAGAACAGCAGAAATCGTAGTTACCTTTGTTGGAAACTAATGTAAAGTGGGACTAAAACCCACAAGGGAGGGAGCAGATGAGCTTGTTTGGTGCAAGCATGCCTGGCTGAAGGATGTATTTTCAAAACGAACCAAAGGGCAGATCACCTTATTCCACACAGTTTCAGAATAGCTGACCTTAGAGGTGACAGTATCCCCCTCTTATCCTAATCAAATCAGCTTTAAGAAATCTAGCAGAAAAGGTTATACTGTTATATTATAGCCTGTTACCTGAATGAACCTTCCACTCCAAATCACAGAATGCCAGACTGACATTTTTATAAGTTAATTAAACGCTCTCTGACAAGCAATACTTACTCAGAAGCCTTAAGATGTGAAAGTGAGATTGTGGGTGACATTTAACTAGATTATTGATAGCGTAGCTCTAATTAAAAACAACTGTCAGGAAACCCACCCCACCCACCCTCCCCTCCCCCGTATTTTCCTAAATAAACAAATAAAATAAAAACCTAATTAAATAAACCCATCCCTTTGTTCAGGTACAAGAGTTTCTGCGTATTTCTGATGCAATCAATATTCCTTCGTTTGGAACCTGCTCCACAGATATCTGACACCCTGAAAAAGCACTCTGCTTTTTGGAGGTACGTGCTGCAATGAAAACCAACCTGCGGGCACTACAGTCCCAGTTACCTCTCTCGAGCGACTGTCTACAGAGCAGCGAACTGTGAGAAATGCGTTAACAGAAAATGAAAACAGTTTATTTTTTTTGTCACTTTGTTACTGCTAAGAGCAATAATATTTACCTTTATGTATATTTCTGCAAATAAACACGGATTTAGTCAGGCAGCCAACCCCAACTTGTCTCCCCAGCTCCCTCTGGAGGCTGGCACTCGCTCTTGGTGTGTAATTCCCCACGTGGAAAAGGTTAATTCCCTGAACAAGGGTTCTGGCTGTAACAGCCTTTCATGGGCAAAGGCTCCAGCCCAAATTCATGTAGTCTCTGTAGCCAGCTGCAGGTCCTTCCCTCGGCTTCTAATCAGGAGGAATCCCCCTCCCATTCCACAGCTGCAAGGTATATAAGGGATCGGGCTCAGGGGCTCCTTTTTTTTTCCTTAAATATTTTAGGGGAGGCAATTTTTTAGCTGCAGCTCTACAGAGTATGGAGAGTACCTGGAGAATCTGTGTCTGTTTCTACTGCTGCCTTCACTGGCTTTCCTCCAGCATCCAGTGCTCCCCCCGTGCCAGGGGTCGCGTGGTCCCTGACAAGCTCTCTGGGTTACTGGTAGCCCCTGAGGACACGGCCAGAGAGCTGAACCCGCTGCTGTGGCTGCCAACAGGTGTGAGGCACGGATATGCCCTCCTGCCTCCCCTGCTCAAGGTGCTGTCTGACCGGGGACCCCAGCACTGGGAAAGCGAGGCCCCCAGGCTGCAGCCAGACTCCAGGGCCCTTCGGTACATGAAGAGGCTGTACAAGATGTTCGCCACCAAGGAGGGGATCCCGAAGGCCAACAAAAGCCACCTCTATAACACTGTTCGACTCTTCACTCCGTGTTCGGAATGCAAGCACCTCCACAGGGACCTCAGGAAAGGTAGGCCTGGGGTGACCTGGGTGGCAAAGGTTAAACAGGGGGTTTCCACGTGTTCTGCGCGCGTAGCATGTTATAAAAATATCTTATTTCTTTATAGTTGTCGCTATTTGAATCCTGAGGGCTCTTCTCTCAAACTGTGGGAGGTTTTCATCACCTGCTTCTCCCTGAATGGCACTAGATACAGGCTTCCTCACAGTTTGGGAAATGCCACGTGTGTTGTACAACATTCAAGGTGATACTGACGTTTCAGGCTGACTCATCTTATTATGAGTCAATGAAAACTCTACAATCAGTTCAAAGTCAAGTCAGAAAAGCAGAAAAATGGTTAGGCACGATAGGCACCGCATTTCCTTCTACTGCCCGTCTCAGTTTTGCTTTTTTCAAGGCCATAAAAGCATACTTGGTTTTGTTGTCATTTGCTTGGTTTTGTTGTCATTTCTGAACTTTTAACTCTTATGTCCCTGACTGAAGTAGAAATTCCATGTAAGAAAAGTAAGGGAGGGGATTTAAACTGCTTTCTTCTGCTGCAGAATTATTTCTGCTTATCCACTACGTGCCAGTATTTATGCCTAGGTGGCACATGAAGATGCACTCACTCGACAAGATTTTGTTTCCCTTCTCAGGAGACGTTCACTCGGTGGATTTACACTTCAACCTGGATCGTGTCGCTGCTCTAGAGCACCTACTCAAGTCTGTCTTGCTCTATTCCTTTGACACATCAGTTCCCATTTCTTCTCCCGTCACGTGCATGTGCCATTTATCTGCTAAGGAGCATGATTCTTCTGGCCAAGTCTGTCCCAGCGTTTCACAGTCCGTAGCTTTTAGCCCGCACTTGGAAGTCAGAAAGCGCAAGTGGGTTGAGATTGACGTGACTTCTTTTCTCCAACCTCTAATTGCTGCTCACAGGAGGAACATCCACATGGCTGTGAACGTCACGTGTCTGGTGGGTGATCCACGGCAGAACACTAAACTGGAAAATCCCCTGCATGTGGCACTGGTTCCCCCTTCTCTTCTTCTGTACCTGAACGATACCAGCGAGCAAGCTTATCACAGGTGGAACTCCCTGAGACACGGGAGGAAAAACCCGCAGCGGCCCAGGCAGAGGAACAGGCCGCCCGTGGATCCCGCGGGTGACAAAGGAAACGAGAGTTTGCAGGGCAAAAGGGCCTCTCGGCGGCGAAGAGACGAGACTCTGAGAGAAGCCCCAGCTACTCCCCCTCACAACCTGAGCGAGTATTTCAAGCAGTTCCTGTTCCCTCAGGACGAGTGTGAGCTGCACAACTTCCGTCTGAGCTTTCGCCAACTCCAGTGGGACAAGTGGATCATCGCACCGCACCGGTACAGCCCTCAGTACTGCAAGGGTGACTGCCCGCGGGCCGTGGGGCACCGCTACGGCTCTCCGGTCCACACCATGGTCCAGAACATCATCTACGAGAAGCTGGACGCCTCTGTCCCAAAGCCCTCCTGCGTCCCCGCTGAGTACAGCCCGCTGAGCGTCCTCACCATCGAGCCCGACGGCTCCATCGCCTACAAGGAGTACGAGGACATGATAGCCACCAGGTGCACCTGTCGGTAGCGGGGGCACCCAGGCTGCGCTTCCTCCGGGTTTGGGGATTTCTGCATTCTCGGAACGTCCGCAGCTGCAGTCAGCCGGAGAGTGCTCCTCCCGTTCCAAAAGCTCGGTCAGGATTGGGTAGGGAGTTGTAGAAGGTGTTTACACCATTTTGCACTTATTTTTGTAGCCACTCAGCCTTTCTAGAATGTGAAATCAAATGTAAATAGTATCATTTTATTGGGAGAATTTTGCATTTAAAACGTGGAAGCGGTTTCAACTACTAAATGTCTATTTTAAGCTGTTTTGTTATGGATTTAAAAAAAAGAAATAAATGCCTGTCATGCACACCACTTGCATCCAGTGCCTGCTGGTCTTCCTGGTAAAGACATCTTTTGTGTGACATCTGCAGCAAGTGTCTAGGAAGAGAGGAAAGTCTTTGATGTTCAAACTCCTTTCTCAGTTTTTCCTTCTTTTTCCCTACCACGTTTCCAGGTCCCCCAGGCAAGAAGACAGTTCTTCCTTACATCTGCAAAAAGGGGTATTTTTTTCCTTGCTTTTGTTTTTTCTTGCTTTTCTTCTGTCACACCCCTCGGGCTTTCTCAGCCATGGGTGGCAGGAATTTAAGGACAGCTGTGTCATAACTTGTGAACACCCAAATCACGGAATTATTTGAGTAAGACCTGGCACCAGCGAGCTGGTGAGCTGTTAGGAACAGCAAGGCTTGATCTCGTTCAAGAACAAAGCACAAGCTGTTTGCAGGGTGAGGGCACAGGATCCTACATGCAGAGCTACGCTGCTGCTGGCTTCTCAGTTCTGAAGAAATGTTCAGTGCTGGCAGCTGAAAGAAAAGGAAAAAAAAAAAAAAGGCTTTTAAAAGCCTATTAAATGAATTAATTTAAATGCTGTTAAATTGGTTTAGTAGTTAGAAAAGGTGGAGCCATAACCTTGTTTCCTCTCACAGCGACATTGTAGGTAGCAGTGCCTTCATCTCACATGCTTTCAAACCACATTTATTTTCTCCCAGACTTTTCTAGTTTTAAGAATTTTTGCTAAAAATGGAGGTTTCAGGCTGGGGACCCAAGCTAAGAGAGTGGGGCTCTGCACAAAAAAAAGCAGCTTTGGTAGGGAATTTTCTTTTTTTTAAATAAAAGGCTGTGGAGCAGCACTGTCTTTTCAAAACTCGTTAAGAATCACCTTTAAGATGGTGACTTGCTAACGTGTTGCTACACAAAAGCCTTGACTTTCCACAACAAACCACCTTAGAGCCTGACCTGTGTCGTTCCTGGGGCTGGGAGTTCAGCTGGGGGGGGTTGGGGGAAGGACCGAGCCCGAGGGGACAGCATGTGGCTTCACACCGCGGTGAGGGCGGTTCGCCTCGTCACGGGGAGCCAGGGGATGGCGGCCTGACCCTCCTGAGCCTGAAGCGCGACAATCTGGGTGACAGTCGTGGGACTTCTGTCACAACGAAGTCCCCAGCGGAGCGCTGTGTTAGCCTGGAGCTGTGGGGCTTGCTTTGGCTCTGAGAGAAGGTCCCCCTGAAATAAATACCGAAACCTCAAGGCGAATATCTTGAAGTCAAACACAAAAAATATTCCCAGCCTACGCTACATTGGATTGTTTTAAAGTAAATTGCCCAGCATAGCTGCTGCTGGGTGAGAATTCATCTCCACTGAGGGAGGAAAATAAAGTTAATTCTTTCTTTGGCACAGGTGGAAAATCCTACTAGGCCAAAGTACTGGGAAAAAAAGTGAAAGAAATGGCGGTTTTGGGTCAAACACAAAAAATATTCCCAGCCTACGCTACACTGGATTGTTTTAAATCAAATTGCCCAGCGTAGCTGCTGCTCAGTGAGAATTCAGCCTCACTGAGCCACCAGGGAGAAAAACAAAGTTAATTCTTTCTTTGGCACAGCTGGAAAACCTTACTTAGGCCAAAGTACTGGAAAAAAAGTGAAAGAAATGGCGTTTCTATGTCAAACACAAAAAATATTCCCAGCCTACGATACATTGGATTGTTTTAAATCAAATTGCCCAGCGTAGCTGCTGCTGGGTGAGAATTCATCTACGCCGAGGAAGGAAAACAAAGTTAATTCTTTCTTTGGCACAGGTGCAAAACCCTACTTAGGCCAAAGTGCTGAAAAAAACTTAAAGAAACGGTGGGTTTGGGTCAGTGCCACGGATCAGAGGCCGGGCTCGCCTTCTCCACGGCAGATTTCTGCACTACGCCATTTTCAGCCGTCAGTGCCGTTTCTAAGGAGGCCTCGAACCCCAAAGAACCCCCTTGCTGAGGCGGGAAAACCACGGCCGAGGTGACCTCATCGATGACGACACGGTTGTGTTTGGGATGGAGGCGCTCCCGTGAGGCTGGAACCTCTCCGGGGGGGATTTCATCGCCGTTAAATGATCGCGATCGCACTCAAAAACACCGAAAACTTTTACAGGGAAATCGGGATACGCTTGGAAAACACCCCCCACCCCCCCACA